CTGCGAGTTCACTGGAGATGGTCACTGCAGCCATATATGGATAGGGAGCAATGGGTTGAAACTAAACCCTTGCAAAACTGAGTGGCTCTGGGTTTGGGATTCGTTGTCTCAGGGAGAATTGCCACCTTTGGCCTTGGATGGGGTGGCACTATCCCAAACAGACCCTATGCCTAATCTAGGGTTTTTCCTGGACTTACAACTCCTGTTTGAAGAGGAGGTGACAGTCATGGACATGAGGGACTTTGCACAACTGCAGGCTGTGCACCAGTTATGCCCTTTCCTGGACCAATGGTTCCTACTCACAGTCTGTGATGACCCAGAGTGTAACACAAACGTAACAAAATCCAAAACGTAAATAAATGTCCTTTAATGCCTCCAACATGGCCCCACTGTTCAATAATTCTCAGTTGGAGATAAAACTTATACAAAAATAGTCTTCAAAAGAAAGCAATACACTATGAACCTAATGAACTTAATGAGATAGAGGTGAAATAAAAAACCAAAACAAACTACAATGAAGGAATTTCCACAACGGACCAGGATATGTAATTACCAACTTCAAGAAGATAACAAGGCACAGTGTGTTGGAAGGACGCCAACCAAAATAACTTCAGTCCAAAATAAAATACGCTTTGCTTCTGGTAACTCTGTGTTTTAACCATCTCTCTTATATACTATTCTCCCCAGCTGCAACCAATGAGGGGGATCATGGCCGCTTCCTCTCTCGTAAGCCAACTTGTTTCCTTCTCCATTCTTTCCTGCGTATCCTAGGATGAAGAGGGGATGGGCCTGGTTCTTCCTCTGACTACCCAGCCGCCTCTGCCCTTCCCCAGCCTCCTTTACAACCTCCAGAGCCACACCTCCACTCCCTGTCGACTGTTCCTCTGCTCCCTCAGAGCCTGACTCTAACAAGGGCATGACACTATCCCCCCCACAGGGCCCCCTCCCCCAGGACCAGGTGGATAGGGACATTGAGGAAACTGGGCGCATGAAAGTCTTGGACCAAACAAGGAGCGTGATCATCAGTGGCATCCATAACCTTTCCATGCCACTGAAATCAGTCCCACAATTGACGTGAATCTCAGATGCTGTCCACTTCATACTCCGCCTCTCCTTGAGGGGCTACCGGGGCCGGCAGCGGTGGAGCAGGTCTATGCGGGCTGTCAGTCGATACGGGGACTAACAGGGATTGATGAAAAACAGGATGGATACTCATGGCTTGGAACCAGGTTATCTGAGTGACCATCTCTTGTCGGTCACATCTACACGCCCCATCAGAGCGGGGAGGCAGGGAATGCTGCAGGTCCCATTCCTGAGGGAGATACACCTGGTGGGTTTTAGATATGGTTTTACATTCTGTAAGCCACCTCAAGCTGCCATGAGCAGTATAAATTATAAATTATAAAGGCGGCAATATAAATTCAATAAATAAATATAATTAAAAGATGCTTGCTCCTTGGGAGGAAAGCTATGGCTAACCTACACAGCATATTAAAAAGCAGAGGCATTACTGAACTGACAAAAATCCCTATGTCCCTATAGTCAAAAGTCATGGTTTCCCCAATAGTGAGTGCCTCAACTTCCACAACTGAGAATTGATGCTTTTGAATTGTGATGTTTGAGAAGTCTCTTAAGAGTCCCTTGGACTGCAAGGATTAAATCAGTCAATCCTAAAGGAACCCAACTTGACTATTCTTTGGAAGGACAGATGCTGAAGCTGTAACAAAATACTCTGGCCGCTTAACGAAGAAAGAAAGTTCACTGGAAAAGACTCTGATGTTGGGAAAGATTGAAAGCAAAAGGAGAATTAGAATAGAGCTGGAAGGGACCTTGGAGGTCTTCTAGTTCAGCCCCCTGCTCAAGCAGGAGAAGGGGATAGTTAAACAGTGTCATTGACACAATGAATATGAATTTGGGCAAACAAGTATTTTGTTTCAACTTCAGTATCTGTCTTTCCAAAGAATAGTCAGGTTGACATGTATCCATTACATATCATTTGTTAAGTGCTATTGCAATGGATCTGACTTCTAGTATCACTTAGACAAATGCTCACCATTTCAATTTTCATCTCATAGCTTTTCTGAGCTTTTAAGAAAAACCCTGTAATATGCTTGATCTCATCCAACTGTTTCCTCATTTAATCTAGGAATCTCTTTTGCTGATTCATAGTCTGGCTGACTACATAATCAGCCTGTATAAATGGCCAAAGTACACGTTTCTTCAAATATCAAATATCTGACTTATTTTTAATGCATTCCATATAGTCTTAATAACCAATTCCAGGTTATTAATAAAGATATATCTTGTTTTCTGCAATATTTTGTTGTTCAGCTACCAAAATCTTACGTTTAGTTTCTATAGTAGCTCTTCAACAACATAAGTTCTCTAGAAGGACCACAGACAATTCAGGAAGAAACACAAGTCATACCTAAGAGAAGGAATTTCAAAATAAACCCAGAAAAAACCTGCAGCAAACCATTCCTGTATTGTTGCCAAGATTGTATAGACATGAATTCAAACATACTTTATAAAAAAAAATTCATGCAAACTTCCTGTTCATTCCAATTTTGTTTATATTCCTGTAAGACAACAAGTTCAGTATACTTAAAATTCATCAGACATATTGCTTACAATCACACATGCTTTCAAATTCTTGTCACTCCCAAACAAGCTTGAAAAAATGATATTACTAATTTGGTGTTCAGCCCCTTTTCCAGTAAAGATTGCTGAGTTATCTTTTAACCAAATAAGTCATCACATAAGTGTTAAACTTCCAAAATATTTGATTTTTTTATTTTAATTAAACTAATGCCTAAGTGCATAAAAGCAGTCAAAATTCCGTTCTTATCATTGCTCATTGCTGGGAAAATTATCATTATCCTCCCACCAAGATTAGATAGATAGATAGATAGATTTCCTGAGGAGGAAAGCTATGGCAAATCTAGACAGCATATTAAAAAGCAGAGACATCACCTTGCCAACAAAAGTGTATATAGTCAAGGCTATAGTTTTCCCAGTTGTAATGTATGGCTATGAAAGTTGGATCATAAGAAAGGCTGAGTGTCAAAGAATTGAGGCCTTTAAACTATGGTGTTGGAGAAGACTCCTGTGAGTCCCTTGGACTACAAGGTGATTAATACAGTCAGTCCTAGAGGAGATCAACCCTGACTGCTCTTTAGAAGGCCAGATCCTGAAGATGAAACTCAAATACTTTGGCCACATAATGAGAAGGAAGGACTCACTGGAGAAGAGCCTAATGCTGTGAAAGATTGAGGGCAAAAGAAGAAGGAAGAAAACAGAATGAGGTGGCTGGATGGAATCACTGAAGGAGTAGGCATGAGCTTAAATGGACTCCAGAGGATAGTAAAGGACAGGAAGGCCTGGAGGAACGTTGTCCATTGAATCACGATGGGTCAGACACAACTTCGCAACTAACAAAAAAAAATCTATCCAATTAGGCTAGACAGGTATCCCAAAACATCAGGAATAGTATAGCAATAACAGTGACAATTTGGATAGAAAACAAGCAGTAACCAGGAAGCATCACACAGATGTGGAGAAAATAATGCCTTTATACTACACCATCACCACAAGTCTTAATTTAGCTTAGAGAGAGCTGATATTCATTAATTAAATTATTGTGTTTAAAAATGACTTAATCTATAGCACCTTGTGTCAGTTTATGCTTATTGCATTTATTTTTTCAATTTATAGAGGTTGTGAAAATACTGAATTGCATATAATTATTTGAAAAAATATGTCAATTGTGAGATAATCTGAAAAGTTTAACCTCTTAAACTCATACTGAAGCAACTATCAATACTGAAACACATTCTACTCACATAATTGATAAGAGATTTGATAAAGACAGATGCATTCATAGTTCAGTGAAATATTCAGAACTCATAGGTTATTTGATCAAAGGAGCAAAAGTTTGCAGCCAATATCAGCGGAAGAGAATATGAGATAGCTTATAAAATTGCTCAATATGCAAATGAAATTCTTTCAAAAATTGTCTTTTTGAGCACTGTGTCCTGCTTACAGATACCTGCATTATAACATTTGGGGAATTCCAAAATATTGAAAAAGAAAATCATCTATTTACAAACTTAAAATTACTGCAGAAAATTATTTATTTATTTATTTAAATTTATCCTGTGGCAGAAACAATGGATGTTGATCTTAAGAACATTATTTTTAAAAAATTATCATTACCTCCATACCAGTACTGTCTGCGCTAATGAGTTGAGAGAATTAATACTGAATAAAGGAATTTTATTATACTGGTAACAAGATGATGAGAGTTATCATTATTTCTACTAATTTCCAGATTGAGACAGAATTTTCTTGACTCCCATTTGTTTTTTCCCGATAAGGAAGTACAGCCTGTGATTATTTAATAATTTAAAAACATATATAAATCCTGCTAGTTTGGACCCTGGCCCATCTATTCCAGCAGTCTGATCTACTACTACTTCTGTCCTACTACCACAGTAACACTGAGAGTGTCCTGACATACAGCATTCTTGTATGGTATGGGAGCAGCTCTGTAGCGGACAAAAAAGCTCTACAGAGAATCATTAAAACTGCCCAGAATATCATTGGGCTCCAGCTACCAGCCCTGGACAACATCTTCGCTGTTTGAGGAAGTTGCACAACATTCTCAGAGATTTGTCCCATCCTGCTTACAATCTTTATGAACTGTTGCCTTCTGGCAGAAGATACAGAACAATTAAAACTCGGACCACACGTTTTCTGAATAGTTTTTATCCCAGAGCTATAATTGCACTTAACAATGAACTTAAGGACCACCATCAGTGAGCTGTTGGACAGTATTATTTGGTCTGTTGTGTGGATGCTTCTGTGCTTTTAGGAGGTGGGGAATTTCATTTTTTAAATCAAGAATAAGAGTTCATCTTCCCAGAGGCCATATGCCATACTCTGCTGCTGCCCAACCATCACCCGCTGAATGGAAAGTTAAATCTGATTAAGAAAGCTAGAGCTATTCACAGATTTAAAAAAAATCCCAATGTAATTGTGTTAATTTTATCAGGTGCTTTAAGTATAAATACACAACACATCTGTTATGTCAGTTTTTCAGAATGTTTAATAAAACTCATTTCTAATAATTGGTCATGTTGAATGGATCAGAGTAAAAATATGGTGAAAAATAACTAGAGAGTCAGGTTGAAAAACATTGCATTATTCTGTGATTATTATGTATTTCATAACACTGGTAGAGTTTATTATGACCTTTCCTTTTGAAGCAAACTACATCTCAACTTTGTTCAACTTTATTTTAATCAACAAATTATAAAGATAGAAAACTTTTCTACAATAAGCATTTCTACCAAATAACTATGCATTAGATTGCAGCCAGAGTTAAACTACATAATAAACCCCTTACATATTCCTAAATGAAATGTAGCTAGAACACTTGGACAGCCAATTTAATTAGTATAGTGGATTTGGAGGGGACAGGGTTAATTCTTCCTTTAATATAAACTTTCACATTAATTTGGTGGTATTATTGTAATACAAATGAGTTATTTTCTTATTACTATTAGACTAATAATGATAAATGAAGCCAACTGGCATTTCTGGAGCTTAGCTCCAGAAACCAATTAGTGTAAAATCAGCCATGAGATCAATAAGACAGCAATTTCAAACTGTTAGATGTTATTCCCATATAATTACATTCAATTTTATTGGAAATGCTGTTTATTTTAACATCTTGATTTTGTAGTTCCTCAAGAATTTCCAGCTAAAGAAAGGAACAGATATACAAGTTGAGAATAAGACACTTTGGCAAAGAATTTCTAATGACCTAGGTTTGGTACAGAAAAGAAAAACTCAATTTCTTTCAAAACTCCAAAATTTTGAGACTAGAATTCAAAATACATGATGAAGATTTTAATTAATTTAAATATAATTTTAATCATATTCAAACTTTACTTAAACAACAAATATGTAACAGAAATCTTTAATATTTTCCTAACCAATAACCATTGTGATCTATAACTGATCGCACTTGATTATTTTAAATAAACCACAAGAAGCTATAAAACCAGACAAAACACTAAGTTTTATAATTTAAGGCAGAACCATTGCAAAACAGAGATGCAATCAATAGTTTACACAACTTTTGTTCAACATTACATAGAGTCTATATAATAAGCTTATGTCTCAAGAATCATACCTGAAAAAAGATGAAACAAAATGTAATTGCTTTAAGGCAGATATACTGTTTTCCCCAACAATCCCCAAATAAACTGTCTCCAAAATATTTACCTTCATTTTCCCATTGAAACCGCACTTGGGTTGATGGCTACAAAGACTTTATTGACAGCAACAAGCAGCCCAATGGTTGTGATTGAGCGGGAAAAGTGCAGAGAGACCCTATATTCCAGGAAGGTGCTTTGTTCCCACTGACCTCAAACACAGGAACATTGGTGAGAACAGGGTAAGTGATGAAACGCTAGCAAAAGAAAGGGGAGATAAAGACATAGGAAACAAAAACGCTGCTGCTTATCCTGGCCATTCTTTCTCATCCTCAGGAAGGCTCCAACTGGCAAAAAGCTACCCTCCCCCCAAAGGTTTTAAAGGAAAACGCTCTGCAACCCAGTAGCTTCACAAACAGAAAGGCTCTTCGGAGAACCACCCACGAGAGACCTCTGCAGGCTAAACCCCAGGCCTTCTCGGGAGCACGGACATAGCCGCCAAGATCCTCCCTTCTCCCGAGGGCTCCTCAAGGGATCGCTCCCCTTTCTTGACACCTGTCACCCGCTCCTCTCTCCAACCACTCTCAGCGACCGCCACCTACTCGGCTTCCTGCTCGTTGTTAGGGGTTCAGTCCGGACACCCACCTGGAAAGCGGACGCAAGAAATCTGCTGAGAAGGGAAATTTCCTAAAGAGAAAAACAGAAGGGATGGCTGCGGGCACGCATCAAGATGTCTCGCAAGCCTCACCAGAAGAAAGTAGGAACCACTGGCACCTGCCCCTCCTCTTGAAATTCTTCAATTGCCCCATCCCTACTATGCCTCAGAACGCACCTTGTGCTTCTCTCTTGCAAGTCGTCGGCCGCTCTGCTCAGGGATTCCTTTTCACTGTCTCAGCTCGGTCTCCTCGCCTCCGCAGCAGCGGCAGCACCGCCAACCCAAACGCACTCCCGTTCTTCCTCCCGAGCCGGATTCTTTCGGCCTTCCTCTCCGAGCCCGGTTCACTTCCGCTACCAGCCGCGGACACTGAGCGGAAGGGCAGAAAGAAGAATGAGCGCGAGGCACAGGCCCCGGAGGACGCCGGACTTGGAGCAGGGATGCGCATGCGCCAGATAAGAACTAAGCAGCTGCCAGACAGACTCCGGAGGTGTGGCGTTTCGTCGCCGCTGTGGTTGTCGGCCAGCGCTCTTTTTCTTTCGTCCACTTCTCCATGCCCCTCGCGAAAGAAGAAGGTGGAGGGGGGGTGAAGGAGGGCTCGGAGAGGTTCCTGGTTTGACTAGGACGGACGTGGTATCCGGAGAAGCATCCGTTCATGGTGCATTGGCCTTTAAACGCAACAAAAGCTACTACTGCTCCTTCACAAGACAGGGAGATCCAGGGGTGGAATTCAAATTATTTAACAACCGGTTCTGTGGGCGTGGCTTGGTGGTCATGTGACTGGCTTTGCGTGGCCGACTCAACATCACTCATGCATCTCCTCGCCTGGCCTCTCATTACTGTGGGGATACTGCAACAGTCATAAGTGTGAAAAACGGTCATAAGTCACTTTTTTTCAGTGCCATTGTAACTTTGAATGGTCACTCTTACACAAGCAAAGTACCAGAAAGGAGGGGGAAAAATTTCCAGAGATGTTCCTGAGACAGGAAGTCTAGTCCTGCCAAGAATGTAATAAGGGTTAACAGAGAGGCAGTTTCTGTAAGCGACACCAGAATGTTTCCTTCCTGCCTTCCTTACAGGATTAGGCCAATAATTTCTTCTAACAACCAGTTCTCTGAACTGCATAGAATGTTAACAACCGGTTCTAGCAAATAGTTGCGAACCTGTAGAATCTCGCCCCTGGGGAGATCCCCTCAGCCCTGCACAGTTTTCCCTCACTTAAGGTGAAAAAAGAATTGGACTGAAAAAGTGACACACGCCTGCATCCCGGCCCTTATACACACACACCTCTTGTGTGCTTGCCGCACGGAAAGCAAAATTAACACTTGCTATCTTTGAGTAAAACGAATTTTGAATAATAAAGTAGAGGAAAAGAGGGGAAATATGCACGTTTTACTGAGAATGTGACCAGTAACGCCGTACGAAGGACTTTAAAAAAAGTTTTGGGTTAGCAATGCCAATCTGTAATAGAATGAAACAGCTATTGTTTCTCTGGCACATGCTGTAATCCATTATGCCCAGAGGTGGTATTCAGCAGGTTTTGACCAGTTCTGGAGAACCGATAGTGAAAATTTTGAGTATTTCTTTCTTTATTTTATTGATTTTTAAAAACAAACAATCAACATAAAACATAAAACATCTTTTTTGAAAGCAGCTTGATCCCACATTACATCTCTTCGTACAGACCCAAATTCAAATTCATGCTCATTTTATATACCATTCCATATCTTATTACCATTCTACATTTTCTATATAGCTTCTCCCCTCTTTTAACTTTCTTAATTTTATTTATTTCAACTCAGTTCAAATCATTATACTTATATTCTTTGTCTATCCTGTTTCCAGCTGTCTATTATCTTTTCTCATTAAACAAAATTTCTCCTGTAATCACTGATTGGAGTATGACGCCTTTATCTCTTTTCCCTAAGTTTATAACATTTAGTATAATACATAACTTCCATTCGGATTCTGCTTAGTACATTCTAAAGTTCACACTTTATTTTAAAAAGAGAAAAAATTATAAATATATAATATAATTAAAACAACAATCCATACCAATTCAAATCTATCGTTAATATTCATTTAAATCTTAAACATTTTACACATTACTTTTCAAACAAGTATCATACTTCTATGGGAACACTTATAAACTTTCCAGTTATTTCCCCCCCATTTCACTTATATTTTAAAACACTGTGTCATTAAAATGTTCCCATTCCTTCCTAATTCAATTCTCTCATTTGTTTCATTTCATTTATTTTGTTTACAAAAGTTTCACTGAATTATACTGAGTATTTTATCCCACTTTTTAATCATATGTTTCCAATTTTCTAACATTATTTCTAATACAAATATAACAATACAATCTTATGTACCTTTGCAGAATCACTTTTTCAGTTAAGTTTTTACCCATTATCTCTAAATAAGTCCTGTTTCTTTACATCTTGCTCCACACCTTTGTAGCTTCTCTTCCCTTCCTTCCTCCCTTGCTTCTTCTCTCTGCCCTTTTTACCCCCTTGTCTCTCCACCTCCATTTCCCTCTTCTGTGTTCCCCTTTTCTGTTGCTTTCTAACATTATATCCACTTTTCACCTTATTTTTCCCTTTTTTGGTTGTTTTTTTAGGTCTTAAAGTCTCCATTTTCTTTCCCTCCTTTCCCCTTTCTTCCCCAAGTAAAGTTACTTGTTCGTTAAAGATGGCTTCTTCTTTGTCCCAATCTTCTTGTTGCGTAGTCTTTTCTAGTAGTTTCTCGTAGGTACAAATCGCCATTTCTAAGAATTGAAAAACAGAACCAAGAGAGCCCTTCCCTTCTTGTTCCTCTTCTTTGTATTTTTTAAATTCCATTTTCAGTTCATCCACAAGTGATGCCGTTGTAAAAAAAAAATTCAAACAACCATCCAAGTGTTTTTAGTCATTCAAATATAATTTCCAAAAGTCCCAAAGTCACCAAGCAATCCAAATACACACAAGCTGTTTCTTTTGACACTTTCTTCTTTTTTCACTTTCTCTTCCTGGGGCTACTGTTTAGTTACAAAGTTCCAGTTAAAATGTATCTTTTAGAAGTCTTGTTAGGATTTAATCAGATTCTTTTAAATTCCAGGCAGTCTCCTCCTTCCGAATCCTGCTCTTATTCTTTTCCTCTCCCTTCCCACTTACAGCAAAAAAAAAGTTGTTGTTTTTAATGTTCAGAAATCCTTATTATCTCCTTGACATTTAATTATCCAGTTTGTTTACTTATTAATGCCAAAGTGGGTTTTTCCGATTTCTCATTCATCTCTGTTCGCTGTCAATGTTAGGAAGGAGAATGGAAAAAAAAACTTTCCCTTTTCACTTTCATTCGCTGCTTCCGAATCTTCCTTGGGAGCGATGTATCTTTTTTTAAAATTTAAATTCCAGGATACCTTAGTTGTTGCTTTTTATTCCGATCAGCCAAAACTTTCACTTCTTATCTTCCTCCTGCACTTTCTTTTCCGGTTGAGTGCTTCTTTAAGGTGGCCATTTCTGACCACCGCTCTTACCGCCTTCGGGAAAGGGAGTTTGGCCAGCTGAGGAGGAAAGATACAGCTTTCCTCGACCCTGCTGGCGATCTCCCCCCTCTTCACCACCTCTAAATGGGAAATTTTGAGTCTTTTGAAGAACTGGCAAATACCACTTCTGACTGACCCCGCCTCTGTTTATTCTCTGCTCCCAAGTCCCAACTGATTGGCTGGTTCTTCTTTTGTTGCCCCACACAGGAGAACTGAGCTAAAAAGCAGGTCAGTGGGGTGATGAGAGAATATCTTGCATATGCTTTCTCAAGAATTACATTCTCTTCATGTAGCAGTCTTCTCCCAGCATTGAACATATTTTCCAATTATTATCTAGCAAGCTAACAATTCTGTGCATGCCTGCAGCCATCCTTCTGTCAAATTTTGTTTAAATTCCATTAAGCTGATTAATGTGTGAACTAGTGGAATATATTTAAAAAGATTAAAAATTTAGTTTCTAGTCGGAGTAATCTCCGTCAAGAGGTATTTTCCATCATGAATATTTTCTAAGGTGAGCCAATTATTCAAAACATTTCTTTCTTATTTCCAAACTCTATTAACTCTTCCTTATCTCTATGAGCTGTGCCTTATCAAGATGGATCTTGACAGACTAGAACACTAGGCCATATCTAACAAAATGAAATTCAATGTAGAGAAAAGTAAAATCCTACACTTAGGCAAGAGAAACCAAAAGTACACATATAGACTGGGTGAAACCAGGCTTAATAGCTCTAACTGAGAGAGGGATTTTGGAGTCTTCATGGACAACCAGCTAAATATAAGCCAGCAGTGTGCAGCAGCAGCCAAAAAAGCTAATGCTATCCTAAGTTGCATTAACAGAGGGATACAATCAAGATCAAGTGAGATACTAATACCACTCTATAAAGCCTTAGTAAGACCACACCTAGAGTACTGCATCCAGTTTTCGTCACCATACTATAAAAAAGATGTTGAGACTCTAGAAAAAATACAGAGAAGAGCAATCAAGATGATTAGGGGACTGGAGACTAAAACATATGAAGAACGGTTACAGACCTGGACATGGCTAGTCTAGTGAAGAGAAGGACCAGGGGAGACATGATAGCAGTCTTCCAATATTTAAGGGGCTGCCACAGAGAGGAAGGGGTCAAGCTATTTTCTAAAGCGCCTCTAGGCCATAGAAGGAATAATGGATGAAAACTGAACAAGGAGAGATTTAACAAGGAGAAACTTTCTGGCAGTGAAAACAATCAACCAATGGAACAGCTTGCCCTCAGAAGTTGTGGGAGCGTCATCATTTGAGACTTTCAAGAAAAGATTGGACTAACATTTGTCAGAAATGGTGTTGGGTCTCCTGCTTGGGTGGTATCATGCCCCTAGTGGAGACTGATTCTGAGGAAGAGGAGGAACAGCCAACAGGGAGTGAAAGTGGCTCCAGAGGTGGTGGAGGAGGCTGGGGAAGGGCAGAGGCCAGTTGAGCAGTCAGATGAAGACTATAAGACTATAGACGCCTGAACATAAGACACACCTAGCTTTTGGGGAGGAAAGCACGAAAAAAAATCTGCCTCTGTCTCCCATCCAGTATTCATCTGGCTCCCGTCCTCGCAGCAAACTGTCTGGTCAACTTATCGTAGCCCCAGCAAGTGGCTCATCAGGACTCCACTCCATTGCACCCACCAGTAGTCAGCTGAGCTGCCGCCGCCGCCGAAGAACACTGAAGCCTTCGCTGCCAAGCAGCTGCTTGACGGTTGGATCGGCTTCTCAGAATACCACTGATCAGCTGTTCTAGGCAGCAGAGAATGCCACCACCTATTGCCAGCGTCAATCGCCACTGTAAACAGCATCAATTCCTGCCACCTAAAACAGCTGATCAGCAGTATTCTGGGAGGCC